TAATTCTATTTTAAGACACCTTTCTTTAAATTATTTGACTTGTTCTGAAAGGTGCAGGCTTCCAATCTATCACGTATTATTTATTTGGCTAGAACAAAGTTAAGAATAGATTGGTGTTTGAGAATTATTGGAAGACCATTGCAAATTAATGGACATAACCCAACAAATACAAATTTAAAATTTGTAATCTTCTTAATACATAAATATTTCCAATCGTAGCTCCAATTTGCACAACCATTATGCTCCACTTAATAGGAGGGGAAAAAAAAAAGTTGGCAAAAAAGCAAGTAAAAGGTACTAAAATAAGATTTGAACTCAACGAGTTTTTAGCCTTTTCACGGGATTATGTTCTTCGCGGTCTTCAATCTGTCTCTTCGTCTGACCTTTAGTAAGTTTTGTGTTAAGAAAGTTCATCAACCATAGAGCCGAGTCCTTCGGGAATCTAGCTAAACTGTCTTTGAAGTTCACATGAAAAATGCCAAATCGAACCGTGTACCCCTGACTCCATTCAAAACCGTCAAACAGTGACCAAATGAAGTAACCCTTTACATTCACACCAGCCCTGAAAAATGTAGACAATAATGTATGCATATTTAGCATATCATGGTAATGTAAAACTACAAGTTGCTCGTTTCAAATTTACCACTACAGACATTAGAGGAGTTTATGTAGAGCGCTTACATAATTGCATATCGAATATATAATAGATGGTCCTGGTGATACTTAATTCTTATGTCATCCACCCGAGACTCAGAAACTGTGAGACTCGTATTGTTCATTTCATCCACCCCTGTGCAACATAATAGGAATTTATTTATATCAAATTACACAAAAATGTCTCGTGTTCAATCTCCATAGAAAATCCAACATCAATGGAAAAAGGGCTAACAGGTAGGATGCTCACCATTCTCTGTAATGTAAATAAGGGGAACCTTATATACATCCTTTATATAAACTAAGAGCTTGTAAATCCCTTGTGGATAAATGTATAACCAGTCTGAAGCAGCCTGAATATTGTGGTAAAGAATTCATAACAGAGAATTATTGCACGCATTGAAAATGTTAATGTAGTAGTAATTCATTGGTTATTGTCTTCTAGAATACTAGAAATCTACACTACCATAAAATTTTGAAATTACTGACATAAATAAAAGGTATAATGCATAAATTGTAGGGAGCATGTAATTATTGGGAAATACCTTCGGACCAATCCGTACTTCACCTACCAAAAATTCAAAGAGTGCATCCTTTTCAGTGCGTATTTTCACCGAAAAATATATATATTGAAAGTATATGCAGAAACTTTCTTGATGTGCTTACTTGTGTATGTTACTCGGGGATCTGTAGCATAGCTTACTTCTAGACCAGGTGAGTTAGATTCACTTTTCACATAAGTAGCTGTGTAATATTTCAATCCTAAAAAATCATAGGATCCTTTAACTAGCTTTGACTCTTCTGTTGAAAAGAAGGGAAGACGAGATCCAACCAGTTTTATCATACTTTCTGGATACTCCCCAGATGTTAATGGTTCCAGAAACCTAAAAACATAAAAGGAAAAGGGAACAACAAAGTTAAGAACTATCATTCTAAAAATCTTGGAGCGCCATTGTGAATCTCTCAAGGGTTGATGATGCTATTACAATTACAAGGATAATAGTAGGGATCAAAATTCTGAACTCAACTTCTTACAGAATGCAATCTATTGGTTAGGAGGGGAACAGTGAAACAACAGATAGCATAAGCATATTTTGCACTTGGTAAGAAGAGAGAAAAAAACAACTGGCATTCCAGATTCCAAAGCCAATTCCCATGCTTTGCATACTTAATTCCTAAGAACGATCATCTGAGCATAATCACATTCCCTAGTAGAGACACTAAATCTTGTCAGAATCTCAGCCTTGTCTGATACATACAGCCCAGGTAAAAAAAAAAAAAGATGAATGCCAGTCAATATCAAGGGAAGACAGTTCTTTATAGGTATATGTATCAAATGCTTAAAAAAAATAATAATAATTTTCCAACAGCAGTTGAATGTTTTAGCACCACATGACCTCTATATATTTTTATTGTTTCGGTTTTGTTAAGTTTCCAATCAATTTCTCTTTGCAAATAAAATAATAAGAAGGGATTTCTTAAGATTTTAACTATGCATTTCTTTTTTGTCTGGCAATTACACAACTAATCTTCATGAAGCTCCCACTAATCATGTTTAAACTAATTTTACAATGAAGGAAAGAGAACTTTGCATAAAACACTCTTTCTATAGGGAGTAATTAAACTTCAAATATTGTATTTTCAGAAATTACAATTTACATATTGTTTCATATGCCTTAACAAGTAAAATATTGCATCTGCATCACAAAACACACACTGGATATAGGCATAGTTACACTGTACATACTATATTTCCAGAAAATCCAATTTATATACTACAGTTTGATAAGTGTTCACAAACAGCATAATAAGATATGTTTCCATTAAAGACGCTAGGAGAATTTACAAAAAAGTGATTTTTATTTGAGTACCATAAAAGTTACTTGCAAGGTAAAAGTAGCATGTTGAAACAAAAATTCTTATGTATAAGATTCACTTATAAAGTAGGTCAAACAACCAAAGTTATAGAAAAAACGAAATCTAATTGAATGTGGAATTTTGAACAATATTCTCTTAACAACAATTGAATGTTGTACCGCCAGGTAACATCTATAAATTTTTATTGTTTCATAAGAGGGGCTTCCTCGAGGATTTTAATTACGCATTAAATATCTGTTTGGCAGTTATACACATTTGATCTTCATTCAGCCCCAATTAGCATGGAAAAACTAAATTTAAAATAAAGCTTATAGAAATTTGCAAAACACAATTTTCATATTAGGTGAAATTAAAGGTTCACATACCGTGTTCTCAAAAATTACAAATTGCATAATACTGTTTCATAAGCATCAACAGATAACATATTGAGTTACAAAATACAAACTGTAGGTATAATTACACCCTACATTTTGTATTTTCAGAAATCCAATTACTACTATCCCACAAGTGAACAAATAACATATTTCACTGTGTTTCCATTAATAAGAATAGGAAAACCTATAAATAAGTAATTTTCACCAGTTGATATCAAAAAGAAAATCAAGGAAAAACAAAAATTTACTAATATATAAGATCCACTAATAAAGTAGGTCAAACTACCAAAGTTAAGGAAAAGGCCGATATTTAAATTTAAAAAGAACATTAAAGGATAATTTTGAACAACATATAAATGGTATACATGTGCCATATCTAACAACTTAAAATGTTAAATCGAGTGGTCCAACATGATATCAAGCAAAGGTCCTAAGTTTCAAAAGTCTAGCCATCCATTTAATCAATTGTGCTTTAATGTGAAGAAAAAAAATGAACAGTACCTGCAAGTGAGGACAACCTTATTTAATAGTTTAAACTCTTAAATCAAGAGATTCAAGAGATAATATAAAGACGTAAGAACTTTCGAATATTCATGTATAAGTCAACCCATATAAGTCAACGAAAAGGTACAAATTGTCAACAAAGTCAATATAGAACAAAAAATAATACGAGGAGAAAAAGAAACTACTCTTAGCCTAACTAGAATTATTCATCATTTTCTTCATTATCATATTAACTTAATTGAGCTTTGAGCAATATTTTATTTTTTTGTATCTTCCCCTGATTTATTACCTTGTCCAATTCTAACCTCAATTTTCAGCAGGGATAGCTTTTATTTGTTAAGCTACAGTGTTGACCGATTATTCTTTTGCAAGTAAGTATGCAATTTTCCTAAGTGAGCATTATCACCTGTAGTATTGGCATCATAATTAAGGAGTTTAATGCCAGTTGATGGTTAGGCCAAGCCCTGGTCTCACGGAGTGGGGGTTTAGTAAGCAGCATGCCCCTGAATTGCCGAACTATACTGGAACCAAAAACATCAATACACTCTTTCATGCTTCAGATTCGACCTCAACCTAGATCAATAGATCCAACCACATAAATCTTGTGGATTTTATTTCCATATGTGATATATTCTTTGGTGCTTCAAGGATATAAGGTTCTTTTTCGTGTGTAATTGATTTCAGATATCTTTTCTTTCTTAGGTCTAAGAGTGAAACAGCCATAGCAATAAAACATAATGGAAATGAAGATATGAAGTATAGGCCAATGAGGTAATCAATTTGGCCTCTTGACAAGAAAGGGCAAAAGAAAGAAAAAGAACTAAAAATTTATTCCCACTCTTCTTGTATGAGTGGCTGATATTTATTTTAGAAATAGGGGAGATGCTCTTACCATCCCAACATAAAATCAAATGCTCTTGTGGCAGCTTCTTCATCAAGCTCATTGTCAAAGAGCGGCTCAAACCACTTTGAGAAAAGCGTGATCCCTATCTTCCCCTCTTGAAGTTTCTATGAAGTTTAAGTTTATAAACAATATCTTTGCAAAAATCTTAGAAATCCTAACATATGCAGATGTAAAATTACTTGAACATAATGATTAAACATGAATTCTAACCTGAAATTTTTGTTTGTACAAATCAACTGCTGCTGCATGAGCAAGGAGCATATTGTGTGCTACCAAATATGGTTCTGTGCCTGGATTTCCATTGTGGCAAATGCATGCACAGCCATGAGTACCTCTATGACAAGCAGTGCTACCTTTTACATGCCCTGCCAAAGAGGAACCTCGCCAAGGTGCCATTGTGCCCATTACATATCCTCCAAAACAGAAGGTCCATGGATCATTGAGTGTAATCCAATGCTTTACCCGATCACCAAATTCCCAAAAGCAAAGACTCGCGAACTCACAAAAATTTTCGCTGTTATACAAATATCCTTTTTAACTCACAAAGAGATTGTCCCTTAGATATAAGCTAAATATCATTATTTAAGGAATATTTGTTATGTTAGATGCTAGAGGAAAACTCGGTCATTTTAGTTATTAGCGTTGAAGGGGAAGCAAAATAAAAGTGGTGTTAACACGATGTAGGAATAAGTAATGATCATAGGTTGAATGGATTTTAGAGATAAAATTATACCACTTACACGATTTGAGAGCATAAGAAGCCACCATACTCATATTCTAAGGCTTGGGGAAGATCCCAATGAAAGAGAGTCACATATGGCTCAATGCCTGCATCCATGAGATAGCATATAAGTAAATTTAGAAAAATATCATTCTGACATCTCATTGTGAAGTGAATAAAGGAAATACAGAGCGGTAATTGGAATCTAACCATGGGCCAGTAGCGTGTCTATGAGATTATTGTAGTACTTGATGCCTTCTTTGTTCACGCCAGCATCTAAGCTTCCACCTAAATATGCCAATTTGAAACACAATTAGAATAATCCTTTCCGTCTTTTCACCTCATTAAAACTTATCGGAATGTCGGGGAAAAATTAATGCTCTTAAATATTCATTGTGAAAGGGAACTATTTCTTGATTTACTTTTACAGTCAATTGTGCAAAAACAACAGTCGAGATTTGTTTGTCAAAAATTAATGCACCTAATTTCTCTCTATCAAACTTCACGACAATTGTACCTGGCAGTACTCTAGACCATGAAATTGAAAATCTGTAGGCATTTAAACCTATTTTCTTCATCAACTTCACATCCTCCTGCAACATATTAAAAATGAATAAACATTTCATGCTGAAAGAACTTTATAAAAGCAGTCTCATAACTGCTTCGCAGGAAATAATGTAACGGACATAGTAATTTGGAAAAATTGGTTGAACCAACTTGTGTAAAATTTCGCTTGTATCCATACCATATTTTATAAACTTCCCTCAAAGGAAGAAGGTTATATATGAGATTTCATTAAATTTTGGATATTTCAAAATAGATAGTCCACTCAATATCTTACACGATTACTTTGTGATGTGTGTACTGTTACATAAATTTATCAGTTAAGATCAGCAGTACCTTGTATCGATGATATGTATCAACAGATACATTTGCATTACTATTGTCCTTCACTCTACCTGCCACTTGAACAAATACATTTAGCAGTTGACATGTAATGATAACAATGAAAGAAAGAGTGTGAGACCCACCGAGTGTCTTCAGTGTGAAAGTATCCCATATACTCGGGCCCCTACCATCTTCTGCAGTGGCACCTTCGTGCTGAAATATACCATAAGATGGATAAGTTAAACAAGCACGAGCCTATAAGCAATAGTGACTCAATGTATGTATTTATGCATGCCTGATTGCCTGTATATACAAATGCATGTGCTTCTGCAAAAAATGTGTTGTTGCATTAGGTCAGCAGCATTCCCCACAAATACGAAAGGCTCTTTATAACACTGAGGCTTTCTTCCTCTGATATTTAGGTTTAAAGATATGCAAGTCTTACCTTAAGCACCATAAATCTTCAAGAATTTAAAGATGATTTTTATAGCAAAAGACCTCAAGAATATAACTTACATTCTCTCTTTCCTTTTCTTTAATTTTTTCAATGTAAACACCTAACAATATAATACTGCTTCAAAATATGTGTTTGGTTGGTTGTGCTTGTCTTGTGTTTTGATCTATGTTGCTACCGGGATATGGGAAAAGCTTAATAGACCAATGCATATTCTTGACCTTTCACCAAAGTCGACATCATATGTTACTCAAAATTACCTTTTTCTTGTTTATGTTTTTCAGATGTATAATATGGTCATTTTCAAGAATTTTTTAATGCATAAAAGTCACAACCTTTGCCTTTATTCAGGTTTACCACTTTATGTAGTATATTGAAAGCCTTTATTAAGGTTTTAACGAGCCATGCTTGTCTAATTCCATCTATGATATTCAATTCTAACATCAACTATTTACGGCGATGCTGAAATGCAACTCAAGGTAGTTTTGTTTTCATTTAATGTTAATCTGAAACCCCCACTCCCACCCCAAAAGTCACGCCCTTCTTCCCTCCTCCTCCTCCTCCTCCTCCTCCTCCCCCTCTTGCCCTTTTTTATTCTTCAATGCTGTATTGTTAGTTACATGATAAAGATCATAGTTTTCAATTTCCTTATTTTTATATTAGTAAAAAAAAAAAGGTACTTGTAAGCTTAGCCAAACATGCTATTAATATGCCATCAATCTTCATATGAAACAGAGTAATAAAATTAGATTTTCTGTCCTTCAGCTCTACTATTCTGCAACCCCCACACCCTGCCGAACACCACACAGAAAATGCACATATGTGAAGTACTTACTACTTGTACAAAGCCTACATGCTTGCATTCTTATGTTTCACAAACACACAAATAGGTAACTTTTAAATTTGTTCAAACTGAAGTAAAATTAAATTCAATTCTCCATACCCTTACATGGAATGCTCAGGATAAACCCTACACTTTGAACATATCACTCAACACATGAATGTTCCTCAATCTTCTTGTACAAAGCCCGCTTCTAAGTTACTCCGACCAACACAATACTTCAAAGCTAATTGAATTGGAAAGTGGTAGCAACATATTGGGGAAAATCAGAAAACACCTACCTGATACGCCGAAGTTGCAGTTCCGAAAACAAAATCCTCGGGAAAATCGCGACGAGTGACCGTCCTGCTGGCATGTCTTGCCAGTAGTTTACGCAGAACCTCCAAGCTACTGATCATTGGAGTGCCTAGAGTTTCCACCAGCAACTGCCTCTCTCAGCTAAGTCAAAGGAGGCAAAGTGAATAAAAGAATCTTAAAAACTTCTCGCATTTTTTTAAAAACAATCCATTTTTACCGTTGATGTGACGAGAAAATATGTGGTTGAAAATGAAAAAAAAAATTATTGATGCGATAAAAAATATTATTTATTAAAATATGTGTGATTGAGAATTAATAAAAGAGCGAGAATGAAAAAATTAACGTGAATCAAACAGGGCTTATAAAAATAAAAGTGCATCTTCTCTATTTTCGCTCTCCATTTTATTTTCTCAAAAAATACTTTTTAACTCTTTCATTTTTTATTTAAAATATTTTTTATGCATCAATAATCAATCAATCAATTTAGCATAAAACAAAGGGCATTGTATAATTCAAGAAGTAATTTTTTATTTTTTGTTTTTTTGTATTTGATGGATATTATTGAAGAAATAATGTATTTTAAATAGTTATATGAGGGGAAATGTGTGGTTAAAAATTAAGAAAAATTATTGATATAATGAAAAATATTATTTTATTAAGAATGTGAGATTGAAATAATGTGTATCAAACAGGAACTCTAACAATATTATCTGTTTTGGGTACAAATTGTGACTGGGGACAATATCAAACTTTATTCCAATTTGACAATCATACTTTTCAAATTCTTTTTTTT